AAAAAAAAAAATTTTTTATTTAATCATTTATTTATTTTGTTCCAAGCTATTTTTCTTGTTCCTTTCCTGTTCTTTTTTTTACTTAGAAGAATAAAACTGGTAAGAATAGAAACAAAATGAAAAATAAGGGTTATTGTCGCCGTTTATTATGCATTGGTTGATTAAAAAGATTGAATGAAAAACTGAATGAATAAGTAAATAGATGAATAACCGGATGAGTGAATAAATAAATGAGTAAATAAATGAATAAATTAATAAGCGAATAAACAACTGAACGAACGATCAAACAGTGAGCGTCTTAATAAACAGATCATCAAAACGTATAGTAGTTGTTTTTGCTTATACGTCGTCTTTTTAGCCCTCTACATAATGCAAAGCTGATTTTTAAAAAGACAAGCGAATAATTAATGGGAATTTTGCTGATCCTTTTTTCTCTCCATTTATGTAGCAAATAATTTTGTTTCCAACGATGGTAAAGACTAACCAAAATTGTAGACAATCAAGAGAAACATCAAAAAAAAACCAAAAAGTAAAAGAAGAGAAAGAAGCACGAAGCAATACGCATATTGCAACAGCAACGTAAAAAAAAAAACACGTCTATAATTAAACTTTTTTGTCTAAGATCTGTTTGGAACAGGCGAGAAGAAGAAGAAACGGAAAGTGGGGAGACAAAAACTGTTCAAACTGCATACGAAAACCTTCCACTAAACTATTGTCGAAAATGCAGTCATACAGATAATAACATGGATACCCTTCCAAGATGCTGTAAAATTTAAAAACACAATTTATATTGCAGCTGATAAATTTAACACATTCTACAACAGTGATTATAGAGTAGTGATATAAGTTTTTTTAACAATGAACACTATCGGTGGTCAACAAATTGCAGTGGACAATACGATTAAATGTTTAACAGATACTTCAAAAGTTTTAATCTGTAAAAACGAAATCGGTTTAACTTCCCGCGGAGCTCTATAAAACAATTGTTCTTCTCAAACCGTTCTGCAATGTTCGTTCATTGTGAAAAAACAGCATCCAGCTTAGGATAAAACAAGAGCTAAGGGAAGAGCAAGCCAAGTAAAAATGCAAATGTAAGACGACGCAAAAAAAGAACGAGACTTATCACGTTAACGCTCTTACAATTTCCTCTAGATTTTTGGTTTTACCCGAAATTTTAATCCCAAAAACACATCTGTATACTATTGCTGTTAATTAGTTCTTGTTTTGATAACGATAAGTGAGAAAAACAGAACGAAGAACAACAGCTAAACATCAATTTCAATAGAAAAAAAAGCGTTCAAGACAGTACGAAACTAATGCGCGTAGATAGACAATCAAAAAAAAAAAATAATAAAAAAATGCCGAAAAAAATGTAGCTATTACTCATCTGAATATCTTATTACAATTTCAAAGTCATTCGGAAACTAAAGTAAGTTTAACTTTTGATTTTTTAATTCTAATTAATAATCTTAAAAGACAGAAAGTTTAAGCTAACAACGTCTACCAAATTAAATGGTTAGTCAAGAACGAGATCAAATGAAAGGAACAGGCAAGGGGAAGAGAGGATAAGCAGAGAAATAGACCGGGGAGTGGTGAAGCGGTGAAAGGTGGAAGTCAACCAAAGCGAAGGGAAGGAGATGAGAGAGCTTACTAACTTTTTGGTCTAACCAAATTGTTGCTCGGTGGTGATGGTGATGCTCTGCCGGTGATGATGATGTTGTTGGTGATCGTGGTGCTGATGACGATGATGATGATGAGGCTAGAAGAAAGCGGCTTTCTAATGTGCTGCTGCTACTGCTGTTGCTGTTGCCGCTGCCGTATAGTGCGACAACTGTTTGTTGGTAAATACCAAAATCCAAAGGGATGGAT